ATACATACATACATACATACATACATACATACATACATACATACATACATACATACATACATAGGCATATTTCAAGAGACTGCTAAGCTGAAGTGGAAAAGAAGATATGTGAGTCGAAGTTCGAGGCTAGGAAATGTGGCTTATGACGTTTTACAGGGATATTAAAGTAATGACACCACGATTAGTAAAGGCTTTGATTCAATACCGCGCTTTGTAACAGTCCTTGACAGTAATGTCCTAAGAACTGTGCGAAAGGGCTAAGATTATGCGACGACGGGAAAACCATTCACGGAATGCAAAAACAATCGTGTTAAAAAAAGGCATCAGTAATCTGAAGTCCACAAGTAAGGTCGATGACCAAACAGGCACAGAACTTTTTAAAAAAATCAAAAATAAAACAAACGTTCTTTGTAATGCGACCAAAAGTAGGTTCGGCTTCCCAAGATAAACCAGAATGATAATTTCATGTTCACACAGCTCTGCCCATTGCAAAAAATTAAGATAAAAAACTCCAACAGAGTAAGTGCAACAACAGGGAGGAGGTCTCAGCGCGTCTGTAGTACTTACCAACAATTTCTATGATCGACAGGAGGATTTCTGGCGCGCTGCTGCCCAAAGCCATCAGCGTCAGGTTGGCAACAGTTGGGTTCCAGATTAGCACGTCTCGGTAGAGAGCCGGGGACCTGGCAACGGGCTGTCCGGGGACGGCGACAGAGACGACCCTGATCTTGCGGGTGGAGCTGGTGATGCGCTCGATTGCGCACATGAACACGTCGGCAATCACTGCCACGCCGACGAACGAGTACAGCAGACCGATAAAGTAGAACACAGCCCTGGTGCTAGCCGCCCACTGACCCCTGTCCAGCAGCGGCAACAAGAGGCCGCGATCGACGCACAGGAACGCATCGCTGGGAAGACACCTACTGGCGTTGTTCATCGGATTTCAAGAGAGGTAAATGCAGAAACTAGAGGATTTCACCGGAGCATGGTCAGAAGAAGGCGGAGATGATCGACCCTCAGCTACACGGTGTCTGTCATTCTCACCGACTGAGTAGCTGTCGCCTGAAGAGCCGGTGATTCGCGACGCTGACAAACCGATCCGCTGCCTGTAGGTCGTGACCAAGAGGTTGGCAGTGCGGTCAACAACCGAATTTGGTTTCACGCTGCCTCTTCATTGTGACATTGCGACACCGTCACTTGTGACGGGACCGAGACCGGTTTTCGTTTCCTTCCGTGAAAACATCACAACTATCATTGCCGTCGCGTTCTGATTTACGTCTTTCTCTGACTGCTGCTGATGCTGACGAAAAGCGTGTCGTTGTCGCTAGGAGTCGTCGCGTTCGTAGCATGAGTCTAACCGTCATCAGCACAGCCTGAGTACGACAGATCGTTATGTCATAACATTTTTTGTGGAGGCCATTCACTTCGGCAAACAATTAGCATATTGATTTCATCGGTATTGTGCAGGCATTCATCTCATTCATAATCTTACCATGGCATTGCTGTCTGGAATGCCTGTTTTAAAATCTTTAATTTTTTGTCACATTCACCAAATAATGATGTTCACTAACTTAATCAGAATTAAAATCACAAGAATGGATCATCACGTACGATCGATAGTTCAACTGCTGGTTTTCAGAGGCTTCAAAACTTTCTAGATGCACTTCCAACATGTCGCCATATTGTGTTGCATTCATTATGGCATTTCGAACTTCAGAACTGATTTGAAAACTCGGAATACGATGGTTAACAGCATGCACGTATAAATGTATGTTGAAAGCATGCTTGAGCAACTGTACTGCCTTCTGTATACCATTACTGCGCCCCTACTGCCATTTTCTAGTCTTTTTATTGTGCGCAGAGGAGCACTCGTTTTCATGTTCATTATAGTTCATTTTCGTTCACAGAAAGAATACAAGGAAAGCAAATCTGCCACAGCTGGAACGTCGATTGTAGTCGATCCATACATTTCCATGGCGACTGCTTTTTAGGCCACAGCTATTTCAATGTAGCTTGAGGTATCCATCATTCAAAAGCGCTTTAT